CTGCCTCCCCTGCCGGGGTCCCCCCATTGCTCCGAGGGGCAGTTTGCCATCTGTCCAACCCAACGGGTACCGTGGCCCCAGACCCCCATGTCGGATGTACGGACGGGGTGTTTGGGGGTGCCCGACGGTGTCTCACAGGCTCCCATGGGCACACTTGTGCCCTGCAGCGGAGGCAGGGAAAGCCGGGATTTCTGTCCTCGAGGCTGGCAGCAGGTGACCGCTGATGGCCCAGGGTCCATGTCCTTCCAGTTGATCTATCAGGTGGAGACGCTGGTGTGATGGGAAGTGTATGGGGGTGAAGGCTGCTTGCTCATAAGCATCCCCCAGGTTGGGTTTGTTGTTCTCGGCGCGACCTCGTCCTGCAAGCTGGGCTTTGCTGCAGGCTGTTTTCTGTCCAAACCGTGCATGCAGAGGAGGTGGCTGTGGCTGTCCAAAGCTTGGAGATAGGAGGATTTAGCAGGGTGGTGCTCACAACATGCACCATCCTTGTGTTCCCAGGGAGGCTGAGAACCGGCGTCAGGGCCAGGGCACATTGCACCGAGCAGCTCTGCAACCACCCCGGTGGGGGCTTCACCATTCCTTCCCGCTGGGCTCCGCTGGAGCTGGGCAGGATGGAGGGGACACTGTGGCCACAGAGCAAACCCCCCATGCCCGGGCAGCCGGGCATGTCTCCAGGGCCAGCAGATCTGCTGCTCTGGGGTCCAGGTCGGGTTTGCTGGGACTGGTTGCTCTGGGAGTCCCGAGGCAGGGCAATCTGCTTGTTACTGGTGTTCCTAAAGCCAGAGCTGGAGCCACTGGGGGTGGTCTGGACCCCGAGCGGTGCTGGGCCTGCTTCCGTGCTGTGGTGGTGGTCCGACGTTGGGATGGGGTTTTGCTCTTGTCCTGCCGGCGGCCTTTGGCATCGGGGAGCGCACGCACACGTCTCTCCTGGAAATAGCTGGAGTGAATTCAGCCGGTGCTTGGCCAGAGACGAAAGCTTTAAAGCCCTGGGTAAGGAATTTGAGACACCACCAAATTTTGCTGAGAACACCTACCAAATGGGAGGGAGCCAGACTGCTTCTGTGTGAATAAACAGCTCCCGTCTCCATCTGTCCTGTGCAGACTCCGCGCCAGATGCTCCCGCAAGGCAGCCGGCGGCTGCGGAGATGGGTCCTTGGCAGCTTCACGCGTCGCGATGAAAACCCACAGCGTTGTCCCTGCCGCTTTCCAAGGCGTTTCTCGGAGGTTCACACATGCACGTAGCGTTGCTCCGATCTGCTTTGCAGGGGACCTGGGAGAAAACCCACCGCAGGCGTGCGTGTAGCTGCTGGGGGCGGGGGCAGGCTAGGGACGGTGGCCAGGCACGGTCCTGGGTGGGCTCGGTTTAGTGAGGGCCTGAAACGCGTCTTTAAATTCCGGGGGACCCCTCTGAGATTCACTTGCCTGCGGGACAGGAGCGGGGCTGAGCTTCGGAGGGCTGGGAAGGGGCTGAGCTGCTGGCTCCGTGCTGAGCCCCAGGCAGGGGATGTGCGGCACCACAGCGGTGCCGCTGCGTGGTTCGGCATCTTTCGGTCAGGCCTGGATGGAATGGCCGCACGCCCTCCCTGCGGAGCTGGGGAGCTCAGACCTGACCGGCGCTTGGGACTAATTCAGCAACTCGGCCGGGAGGGTGCCCCAGCATGGCACAGCGACCCAGCTCCTGCTGGGCACCGGGAGGGATTCCGGGTGGGCTGAAGCGTGTCCTCGGCACGGCTGACCCGAGAGCCTGGCTGTGG